GATACCAATCCCTGACATAGCTACGTTCGGACAAACGTTCAAGAGTCTTGGCATCGGTCGGCGGCTGCGTCACCATGCCAGGTATCTCAAAGTCATCGACGCTGAGATCGTCGTCATGACTGAGATCGTTGTTGTCGGTCATCGGTAGACTCATTCGTCCGGGCGATGTCATGTATTTGTTGTTGCTGTTGATGAGATTCATATTCGGCAGCACGTACTTCTGTCGCTTGGACGACTGCTTCGGTTTGAAACCGGCCTTGCGTGCGGTCTTCAACAGTGTCTTTTTCGCGAAACCCTTCAGCGTGGCGTTCTTTTCCTTATTCTTATGATGCGCCGTCTGTGTGACTAGGATCTGACCGTTAAACGCGAAGTGATGAAAGATGTGCGGCGGATATCGCGCCTTGTGTACGAGTTTCCTTAGGGTATCGATATTCTCGGGCGTGACTTCCTCGTCAAAAGCCAGCTTTATCAACTGGAACGTGCAGGAACGCAATTGCAGACCTTCCTGAAGACATTGATCCAGATGCGCAAGATGTTGCACGGCGACTCGCTTTTCCTTGGTTAGAGATGTCACGGGGAAGGCTCGTACGACCAATTGCTCGCAGGCAAACGGATCACAAGGTATACCTTTAAACACTATTCTATAATTCGTGAGGAAGATAGCACCCTCGGCCGGTAAGAGAGGCGGTATCTTGGGCAATCCTGCGGAGCTCTCCTCCCTGCCGTCCGGCAGCAGATAAACGCGCAAGCCGTCCATTATCACTTCCTCGCCAGGCAGCATGTTGGGTGTCAGGATTTTCGGTTTCTGTATCGGCGGCAGCCTCTTACTCTCCCTATGGACCGCCTCAAGCGTTTCGATGTGCATATGAACGACGCCTGGGACCATTTGATGCAGACATCGCACGTGCTCAGCGCTGACGCCGCCTTCGGTGCAGACGCGATCGACGAATCGCGAAACCATTCGTATGACAGCACTGCCGGTTTCATTTGGATCGGTCTCTTCGAATCCGGACTCGGCGTCACCACTGTCACTCGCTACGCTATTCGTGATGCTATTACTTGCGCGCTCCTCGTCGTAGATGTGATCCTGACGATGCGTCTTCGAACTGATATCTAACGGTACCAACAGATAGACCATTCTGTTGGCGTAATGAATCGCCTGGCTGTACATGGTGCTCTCCTCGCTGTTCACAAGCTCCTTCTGTTTTTCGGAGTCGATAGAGGGCCAGATTCGCATTTGATCCGCGGCAATTTCCAGCGCCGATGGTTCCTGTGCCTGATAAATGGAATATCGATCTCGATACGGAAACTCTTTACCGTCCCGCGGACTGATAGGACTCAGAATACCGTCGTTTATGAGTTTAGGCGGCGAATTGTCACCTGGAAGATACAGGCGCTTGATATCTTTCTGCACATCCAGGTAAAACGCATCCTCCCAGAACTGTTGATTCTGCCATACTGGATGTTCCTGAATACAGGTATACGCAAATTGGATCACACCGGTGCACAATTTTCTACAGAACGCGGTGGCGAGCGGCAGAAGAGCCGCGGCGACTCCGTGCTCGTCCATCGACGAGTCATCCTGTAATGCACAATTCATCAGACGTACTACTAGATCGAATTGCTGATGTTCCAGCATAGCCTTGTTTCCGACCACGTGTTGCGACAGCTCCATGCAGAGCGCTAAGCGTGCTGCTTTGCTCTTCAAAGCTCGCAAGACGGCTGGAAACGTCTTGCGAGCGTCCGAAATCTTGTTCTCGAATATACAGTTGATGCAATTGCGCAACACTTCTAATCTACGAGCAGAGTTGCTGACCAGGTGTCTAGTGTCGTGAACAAACGAGATGTGCGGACCCATGGGCACAATGCGAGGTTGAATCGGTCGTAGGGAAGACAGCCTGACCTTGAGATTATTCTTCGCGAGACCCTCATCAATAATCGCTTGAACCTGCTCAAGATTAATACGCGGGAAGAGAGGTTGATGAATCCTTGCAAACGCACCTTCGGGTGGTTTCAAAATCTTCTGCACATACGGTTGGGGATTCGGATTCTCATTCAAGTACAACTGTTGCGCCAGTTCCTGAATATGCGTCAAAATGACTCGATGATCCTGCGTTTCCTGTTTCAACTGATCGCTCAGGTTACTATATAGCTCATCCCACACGTCACAGGGCCTCCATGGTGGACCTCTTTCCGCGATGAAGGACGTAAAAAACATGCAGTCCAAGACCCTCGTGGTGAAATCGCAGTCTGTAAAACCTCTCTCTCCCAAAAATGCTGCTTTGTGGAAAGTAATGACCGGTTTCGGATGTATCCGTATCAATGTTAGACAGCTCCGATATCCTTGCAATAATTGAGCAAAGGTTCTCATAAACACTGCTCTAAGCTCCTTATCAAGCATGGGCGAATGCGGCGCTCTGGTAGCGAGCGGAGGGAAAGCGTAATCGGCACATGTTAATTCCGGCTGCAACACCAAAGACAATGCGTCCTGCGTCTGAGAGAGCAATGGTTCTGGTAATAGAGCAAGCGAAACACCATCGGGAACAGTTATGGAGCCTCCATCTAGATCGGCTATTATTACATCCATCTGTAAAAAAGATGAAGTTTATAGTAAACGTTGGAAGAGAGAATTTAAGCGCGAGACTTTTCGAGATCATATATAAAATTTTCCTTACAAGTTCTGCAACTTCGTATTTTAACGAGCTATGTACACCCATAATGAATGGCGTCGGAGTGCTGAGTATTTCGACTAAAGCCGCAGGCAAAAGAGGAATGTAAACATGCGAGTATCTAAACGGATACATCAACGCTGTCAGGGCGCGACACCCTTCGGTCAGTCGTGAATAACTAGCAGAATGAAAAAGTATCTTGTGTTCTGTCATGACTGCGCAAAATAATACTAGCACATTACGAATACCTAGAAATTACATTGTATGTATCAGTAATGTAACCCTATATCGAAGTATTATATGGATCATTTACAAAAACTTAATTATTACGATATTCTTACCTAATTGCTGAAATAATAAATTTACAGTAGTGTGAGTTATAGGAAGAGAAGGACTAATTGGTGGCTGAAGCGCCTGGCGATCGCCCGCTCCAATACTGAATCGTACCTGTGGCCCACCAGCAGGAGGTACTTGAATACATCCTAATATGTTTCCGACTAAAGTCTCTAATGGTATGCCAAGATTTTCCACATACACTGTATAAATGATACCGAGACAGTTCTATAAAAATAATAGATTATTATTAAAGATCATTATGGAAAATCAATAGTATTAGTTGATGATAATAATTATACAAATATCCACATACTCTAAATGTTTCTATGTAATCAAGTCTGGAAACCAGCACCAGACATTTGGGTGCATACATAATGCTATGATGTGCAATGGCGGGTATTGCCCTGACCAGAGATCGACTATCTCCATCTACAGGATCCTCTTCCTCATCTACAGGTTTACTTGGCACGATCGAGACCGTTTCATTGAAGCACATACAGGCGCAATAATGTCGATTCGCATCGATGTCTGTCAGTATCGACACAAAGAAGCGTGGCTCTTGTCTCTCCGTCGACAAAGCCCATCCTTGTGGTTGACAAAACTATGTAAGACATATAGCGCATGTGTAAGTAGAGCAATGATATAATAGATTTGTTTCTGAAAAAAGAATCAGTTTTGTACCCATTCTATCCCTTCAATGAAAGGTGTATCCGGCCAATCTTTCTCTGGGAATCGTTGCGATATAACTCCGCTACTTACACCACCCCCTATAATCATGATGATACATGTTACATATTTTTTTCAATTTTATACCAAATACGATGATTAAATTTCATTAATTCCACGATTGTAAAATTGACAAAATAATCACATTATATATCTATCTATAAATTGCTGGAAAGATCCATAAAAGAATTAAACTGTTATTTTTCATTGCGCTTTATTCCTCTTTCCTTGCTGCAATCTCTATAAAGTTTGGACACATATATCTGTCGTTTATCTTAATATAATAAAAACGACAAAGGGATAGAGTCAGAAGAGGAAAACATTGGCTGCAGCCATAATGAGAAGTGTCAGACACAATTTTCGACGATGACTTACTTTCTTTCTCGTGATCGTAGCCGACCACTACAAAGTAGTCGGCTAAACGAGACATCTCGGTGTATTCGTGGGGCTGAGTGGGGGTGGTTGCGCTCAACATCCCACGTCGTGTTTGTTGCACGTGATTTCATGGACCGTCGTACCTGGCTCGCGACCTGTGCGGCTCCGGCACAATAATAACTTTTACCACCTACTTACGTCGAACGGTACGGTCGCGCGAATCGATTCGAGAATATCACTAACATATCTCCTTTAACGTCGTAGCGTTATTAGCGCGCGAGGAGCCGGAATCTCGCGCGCGCCAACAACCCTTCGGGGAGAGAAGTTGGCGTTTAAAAAAAAAAAAAAAAAAAAAAAAAAAGAGGAAAGAGGGGAAGAAAACTGTGCGAACGAGAAAATCTCGCGAATCCTTTCGCACTCACGGCCACGGGCTCTCGCGTTTTTCTAACACGACATCGCGTCGCCGCCTCTCGCCAAATTTCGCGGACCCGCCGAAAATAACGATGCCACAGCCACACCCCGTAGTAACCTTAGTCCATAACCTTCCAAACTCAAACGCCACATTGGGGGTTTGTTGAATCCATCCGCGTCGAACACCAAGGCAAGAACCGAAACGCACCGCCACGGTTACGCGAAACGAAGACGAGACAACGCGCTCCAGAATTGTTTTTTTTTTTGTTTTTTTTTTTGTTTTTCTATGCCGGATGCGCCTGTATTCAACGAACGTCGACGTTTTCGATAAGAATCACGCGCGATTGGCGTATAGAGCCCGCCAATTAAATTTGTCGCTTAGAAGCGACAAATGATGCGGTACCACCGATGATCGGTCATGTCACAATACACGTCACAATAATATATATATATATATACACGGTCGTCATGTCAGATTTACTCACTGGCTAAAGCAGTTCGATCTTCGATCCAACACTGTGCGATTCCACCTAAAGGTATATTCGAGTTTGGACTAATCGCACGCGGGGGAGGCGAACATGATTCTTCGTTTTGACAGTTCGTGATAAGATTTCGCGATGAATAGGTTCGAGTACGCCGATTCTCGGCTTATGCCGAATGAGGTTTATGTGAGACGCGATATGGCCGTGCGTCTTTACGACGGCGATACAAAGGTAATTGATGTCACGGATGTATACTTGTGGGGAACGACCGATGTCCCGAAGATGCACCCAGTGTGCTATTATTTTTTTTTTTTTTTAAACCCTATAGATATAAGGATTGTATTAATATTAGGATAACTTTTCACAGACAAACTTCGAAGGCGGCGAATTAATTTTAACTAGTCACAGAATACTCTGGGGCAGACCCGGCGATATACCACGAGGTAATACTTGTTTGTCGCTGTTACTTCGATATATTGTTTTCTTCGAAGAAGAGAATCCCGGACCGTTTTCTTTCGGACGTAGTAAAAAAATTGTACTACATCTCTCCGAACCTGCTGTTGGTGAGACTTAAAATTACAAGAGTCAAATGATTAATAAGTTATAAATTAAACTAATAATCTTTGTATATATTTGTTTAGATAAGATGCCTGGTCCGGCCGATAATAGCCTATATAATTATGTCAAATTGTCGTTTAAAGAAGGTTTAGATTCAAACTTTATAACGCAATTATCCGATACTATTATAAAACGAGTATGGGAGTTGGCTCCTACCACAAGTCTAAATGTGCCTAACGATGCGCATGACAATCGAGGAAATTCAAAACTACTACCGCAGATAAAAACACGAACGGGCATCATTGGTATCGAAAGAAGTTTGCAAGAGAAGCAGAAAGAAACTGACCAAAATATATCATTGGCGTTTCAAGACCTCACAAAACTTATGGATATGGCTAAAGACATGGTGGCCATCTCAAAGACAATCTCTGCTAAAATACGGGTGATTTTCAATGATTCCTTTGTAAGGTTGGACAAATTGAAGTTCATAATGCAAGATCATTGCAGGAGAGGCAAGGCGATATAACGGAAGATGAGACTGTCAGATTTAAGGCTTATCTAATGAGCTTAGGTATCGATGATCCAGTAACAAGGGATGCGTACAAGAGCAGAAACGAATACTTTGAACAATTAGCAAAACAACTTGCATATATCTTAGAAGAACCAATAAAGGTTTGCAATTTATATATTTTGCGAATATGTAATGAGGATATGTAAAGATGGGAAATGTTATAACTGATTTCAGGAAGTAGGTGGCATGATGACACTTACAGATGTTTATTGCCGTGTAAATAGAGCAAGAGGTTTGGAACTTTTGTCTCCCGAGGATTTGTTACACGCCAGTAGACGGTTGGCGCTCTTAGGTTTACCGATTGTATTAAGAAGCTTTGATAGCGGCGTTATGGTTCTCCAAATTCGTTCTCACGATGATAATGCTGTCGTGGATCGCATAACGGAATTGGTAAATATTTGATTACACAAACACTAATAAAATGAAAATTTTTAATCCATCCATTATATCTTATCCGCATAAAACTTTCAGTTAAAGGAAAAGGAATCTATGACAGCCGAAGATCTCGCACAATCGGAAGGTATATCAGTATTGTTAGCGCGCGAGCGATTGCTAGTCACAGAAAAGCACGGCAAAGCGTGCAGGGATGATTCAATAGAGGCTTTGAGATTTTATCCGAATTTATTTTTAGAAGAGATATCTAGTGAGTAATTTTCAGTTCCCCTGTAAGCATATGATTATGTTTTTGTTTTTTTTATCATAATCAGATTAACATTGACCATCATGTAAAATACCAACAGTTCAAGGTTTTATATATTTCTTAAGCCTTCATATGCTCAAAGTATAGCTAAATCAATTAAACATAGTTATTTTGTAAAATACACGAAAATAATTATTTTCTTATAATTATATATAATTTGTATATATCTTATTCCTGATACCTAAGTGACATTTTTTGAATAATTTAAATCTTTCATCATAATAATTACTTCTTTGTGTATATATTACATAAACATGATATGAATCGAAGATTATATCGAATCGCATATTTTATATTTCACAGCCAGAAGAATTTTGAAAAAAAGTTAGAAAGCTAAACTTATTTTAAATTATATGGGATTATGTGTGTGCACATGTGTATGTATGTGTGTGTATTACTGTAAAGGTGCAATGAAATAAATTTTATATCTATATTAACATAATCTCTCTTGATACAATCAACACTTGAAAAGATAGAAAACGCTGATTGATGGGAGAAATTAATTAAGATAACATATATACATAGATGATGAATATATACATACATTATAAATAAAAATAAATGTGTATTTTAAACTTGTTTTAACACAAGTGTAAGATAAGGCAATGAAGTGCAAGGCATCATGCATTTTAATTGAAATATATTTTTTCAGATTTATTCATTAAACGAACTGTGTAAATAGAACCGCAACCATGATTAACAATGATCGTATATAATTAATAATACATGATTTTCCGTATCTGTATTATTTATGCATATACAGGATGGAGATTATTTTCTAAAATAGCGGTTCAATACATTTGCTATTATATTCTTTGACAAATTTAGAATCGACTTTCTCTTAAATATCTCATCTTTTTTCACTTTTCAATTTTCACGATTAAATATCTTAGCAATTAAGAGTTAAATTAAGATTCTCTCAAAGTATGCTACTTGAAATTATATAACATAAAGAATAAGATTTTGTTATTCTCTTATACTGGTGAAGTTTAATCTGAAGAAAATAATTTATTTTAGTTAATTTCCGTTTTTAATTTTAACTTCTTTATAATTAAGAAATATTAGTAGGTGTTTCAATACTTGTTCAATACTACTTTCATACTTTGGTCATCAAAAAATTCACTCTAAAGATAATCCAAGAATATATCGGCAAATTCTGATCCACTATTTCAGATACACCCTGTATTAGACACGTGTTATATATTGTACAGCATATAAATGTCCGCCGTACAATATCGCCCACTATCGGTAAATTACGGTCCTCCACAAGTCAATGCAGTTAAATTTGTTCGCACAATTAATATAGTATAATACAAGATGTCGTATAACAATACATATATATTATACCTTTGACGAACACAAGCTCGAACGTACCTGTTCGTTTAAAAACAGTTACTTTACAAATATTAATTTATACATCAAAAAGTCCGATTACTTTTATGTCCAATTAATACATACTTGGGACAAGATAACAGTCATTTGTGTGTGACATCCATAATTATTTATATATTGTACTAAATACTCTTTGAAAATAAAATAAAAAATTTACGCATGCGCATTTTATTCAATTTCTTTATAAAGATCAATGTCGACATTGCGCAATTGTTAGAATTAATTTATACGTGCGATAATTAATTTTTCCACTAATTCCTAATGACTTTAACATTCGAGGTACGTTCGAGTGCATTTTAAAATGCAATAAGGAAGGCTTGGCAAGGTTCATTCTTTAAAAGGTCTTACTTTAATCAACGAGATACGAAGACTATAACGCATATATACATATACAGGATGGGGTGTGAATGTGCCCTTATTATATCACAGAGAGGCGTAACAAAAATATAAAATAATTTAAATTTTATATAGTATTTTGTATGTGAATTCTTTCTCGCGTTTCATTCATGCAATCGCTATGTGTTTTTCGTGATTCGTCCCACAAATTGTTAACATTGTAAAATTATTAATAATACCGATATATGTTGAAATATCTACCCATCGATACGCATATAGCATTGCTATATCATTTATTTATTAACGTATTGCTAGTAACATATGGTTTTCAACGTTGATGTACGCCTTGAGAATTTAAGAAAAACTAATTTTTTAAATCTATTCTATTAAAAAAGGAGCAATAATTATTGATACGCATATAGTAACGCTGTTTGTGGTACGAATCACTCTACACTATTATTGTCATTATCATTCGGTTCTCTCCCTTTCTCTCATTCTCTCTGGTTATCTCTCTTTTGTATTACATTTTTTGAATTTCTTCTTTAATGTTCTCTTATCCCCTCGTCCTCGCCTACTCTTTTTCTATGCTGTAATCGCCTTTCCACTGTCTTTCATTCTTCTATTTTTATCGCTTTTTATCTTTTACCATATTATAACTAGCCTCTGACAAAATTAAATTCTGAAAAACGAGATGCAAACTATTAAACAACTCTCATTTCTTTCCCCCTGAACTCGTCCTGCGCATGTAGTATCATATCAGATTAACGTATACACGGGAATCCCGAGAACGGTGCGTATATCAGTAGCAATAACTTGAGAGAACATTCTCTTGTATTACTTCACGTAACGATAACTTTATCGTTGCGAGAAAATCAAGTTACGAAAAAATCCAACACTCTTTTCGCAACCGTTTTCTGCGACACCGTATATACGACGTCTACGTGTAGACAAACACGTAGACACGTTATAGCAGACGCGTAATATACGCATAGACGTGAATCGCCCATAGGTATTAAGAATAAAAGTTCAGTTTGTGCTGATATACAACAGTGTTAGATGCTAATATGCCAATCTTGGCTTATATATACGTATGTATGCGTGTATATATATGTAAATATATATATATATATATATATATATATATATATAAATACATATATAAATATATATACACACGCGCATACACATATTAGCACACCGAACTAACGTGTTATATTGCGCGGACATTACACAACGCATCGTCCACGGTACACGTCGACTTAATCTACTATTAGAATATGAGCAGCGTAAGCGCCGGAAGCAACGCTGGTTTCAACACTTACAATTGTTAATGCACAAAACGTGTTTCCGCTACGTTCGACATTGATATTCGAATCCGCTTAAGATTGAAAAGCATAATTTAGCAAGTACAATTCTGATTATGAAAAGATCGTATATTGAACGTGATAAATAGAAACTATTATATTTTTCCTCCGCGGATCTATATGAAAAAAAAAGCGAGATTTTTTGAAACGGGGAAAAACCAGTTTTTGACCAGTGATCAGATTGCTGCCGAATTAGAGGACTATATGGATGAACAACTTAACACAATACTGGAAGATAACAGCACTGTACAAGTAGCAGAGGAATTATTAAGGTTTTATCGATATTGCATAGAGGGCAATGAATCCACAGCAAAAACGGAACTTGAGAAATTACCACCGCTACAGCCTTGGCTTAACTGTGAACGACCTATTCGATCTACTCGTCCTTTGCCAGTACAACAGGATAGCAGCTCGGATGAAGATATGGATGTGGATAAAAATCAACAAGAAGACGATGGATGGACAGTAGTTACAAATAGGCGAAGCAGATAACTCCCAACTCTGTATAAAAGATATCTTTATTCAGCGCTTTTCTTCTTCATATGTATGTATGTATGTGTATATATATATATATATATATATATGCATACAGATTATGCGTATATTCGCTTATGTACAATATCTCATTATTAAGTATACACACATACATAGCTCGTACGCACGCACGCACAGCTCTTTAAATTAGAATCTGCAAATTATATATAATTACACGTATTATTTAACGCGAAAAAAAGCTGCTTTGGTCGAGCTATTTCGATTAAGCTACTTAAAAGACGATAAAGTTGCAATTTCAAACTTAAATTATCAATAAAGGAAATTTTAATTTTAATCGCAAATTTTAGCGATTTTAGCAAAAGTTAGAAATGAATAAATTGTTAAATTAAAACTACAGGTAAAATATATTATATAGCTCTAAGTGTCGCATATAAGAAGTTACAAAAAATTTTACAATAATATAATCTTTTCCACTATTATTAGCCACCGTTATTAAAGACATTCGTCACTATGATTCTCGCAAAATACACCTCCTCCACTATCTCTCTGTCGCGTGATTTTCCGTCTATCTAAATTTATTCTTGCGTATATAATATATCAGTGAAGAGATAAGAATATCGTTCGCAAAGGGAATGTGCCTTACAATTAGATTTATGAAGATTAATGAGAAGTGAGCGATATTAGTCCCATTAGTAATTGGCGATAGAAAAATCTGCATAAGTTAATAAGTGCGAAGTAGAATAGTGGATTTTTATGAGACGAGAAGAGTGTATAGTATAGATTGTAAAATTTTGCTCGTAATAATGTATCTTCTTTTTTCTTTTTATGTATATATATAATATATACGTACACGTATGCGCGCGTGTACAAAGACTAAGCTTGCAAGTTCCGTCATGTATATGAAGAGGTACAAAAGTTATAGAATAGGCGTTGAGGTCCAAAAGGCTGTCTAATTCGTGCGAGTCGTTTAACGATCGTTTTTTTTTTTTTTTTTTAGTAGTGATCGAATGTCACGGATTCGATCGAGGGTGTCGGAACTGTGTATCTGAAGAACTTGAACTCCGATGGTTTCAATCGCACTTTATAAACAACAGAGAATTAAAAGAAACTCACAGAAATTTATTTTGCGTAATTAAATTTTTAATCTTCAAGATTTGGAATTATTTCAAAAGTAAATTTTTTTTCATTTCTTTCTAATCTGTGAAAACTAATATTTTATATTTCTGACAATCGAGATAACTGTTCAAAATGGAATTGGAAATATTTCACTGGGCTAAGTATAATAATTTCTATATAAAAAATTAGCTATTTTAATTCTATTAGAAGAATTAAAATAGAAAGGAATAACTTCAACACAAGATTCTCAAGTTAGATCAACCCTAAAATTTAAGAACTCTGTGCATCACAAAATCATTTTGATCAATTTCATTTCTAATTCGTCTAATTTTATAGAGCAAATAACGTTCATTTTTATTATCGTTGAATCCTAGCAAGAAAAATGCACTTAAATTCTGCTGTTATCTGTTATAATAAATTTAAGAAACGTTGAATAAATTCTCAAATTATAAATCGCGAAGGAGCAGACACATACGTCCCTATATGGGTCACTATCACATATAGTGACGGAATTTTTTGTAAGATAATTATAAAAGAGAGAGAGAGGTCTACAGAGTTTTCCCTTACATGCTAATTTTACGATATTTCTCTCTTATATCTAATCTAGTTAAATTCTAATGATAGTCAAAAATTGTGACCCTTAGTTCTTAAAAGGCGACATATAATTGCCTAAAAATCAATACATTTATATAGGGAGCTATGGCAATTACATAAATCGTGTTTATCTTACTTTTCACGAATGCAGAATTGTCATATCTATTGCAAAAACTGCCAATCTCTCAAGATAGTTCCGACACCATCGAATGTTGTAATTGGGCTTCGATTTTTCGCGTAGATTATCTTGTCATGGAATAGATCGTAATCGATCGTGCGATTAGAATTAACGCACATATGTGAAAAAATACATTCTTATCGTTTTTATTTGCGGCGATAATCATCGCGTAGTAACCGTGCGCAATCGTATTGTTTTATGGATGATAATTATTCAATCATATGTATGACGCAAGGAAGGTGATATTATGGATAATATCGAAAAGAACTCAAAATTTGTCTATCACTCCAAGAAAATAAAAAACCAATGTTTTCATGATAGTGATAAATGAATTGCAGCAATGATAATGATAAATGAATTGCAGGAAAATGATTTACTAACAATTATGTGATTGATTTTCAAGTCGCGTGGCGTCGTACGTTCGTAGTTTGTTTATGTGAGTGATTCCTAAGATGAAAATTTGCAATTAAAATATCTCTAAAAAAGAGATCCATAAAATGCAAAAAGTAATTGCTTCAAAGAGTTAATTGCTTCGAGAGAGATATGTAACAGAACACATTACTAGAAATTTTATGTCGTATTTCATCAGTCGGTCGCATCAAATTCCTCCAGTTCTATCTATCCTTTTAGAAGAAAGATTTAATTTTGCTACTTAATCGATTGCAGTTTGCATGATTTTTCGGATAATGATGTAAGCGCAAAATTTGCACTTGACGAGTTCATTTTCGACAAACTGGAGAATTAAGATAAGTAATATCGGCTCTCGCGACGTGCAGTAAGATTCCGTATCAATTATAAATTTCTTTGTTAAACGATATCGCACATTTATCACCCACAGTGATCTGAACGACCGTTCGTCTGAACGTTAACGTACTAGATAAATAGGATGCTTATGACATCACACATCTCTGCGTGTGTGTGAGAGATCGTTTCTTATTTTACGTTTAGATTATACAAATACGCGTATATCTCTTCCGGACACGCATAAATACATCAAAGAACGCGGGCATGACACAAAATTTTATACGAGATGGTACACGCGCGCGCGAAAAGTAATACTTTAAGACTCTGCTTTCCGCCGCTCCGGTCATCCTTTCGCTCTCGTCCCGCGAACGCGACGATTCCGTTTCTACTTTCTGAGTGGATGCCACATGGCGACCGGACGCCGCAAGGCCGCCAACATTTGTCTCCAATGCGCCAGCGCTTTTCCCGTCGAGGTAGATCCTATGATGATGTGGCCGATAGAGTACGCCTTTGGATTCGTACTATGGTCGCCGTTCAATTCCGCCACCGTCAATCTCAGTTGTATAGTCTGGGAAAAAATATATTTGATAGAAATATTTCTACATAGATAGATATAAATTTGTAGGCAGAACATACATCGATTTATAAAAAAATTAAATATTGGAAGGATTTTGAAGAAAATCCTTAACTCTTAAGCAAAAATTGATTGATTCGAAAAATTGATATTATATTTTCATTGTAATATTTATACATATATATTATTTAAAAATGGAAATTTATTCAAAACCTGTAAAGAGTGCGCTGGCATGCTAAATATTATCGCTTCGTTGAAGATTGGACTCTTCTCGCCTTTCTTTACGGACGTTTTCTTTTTATGCATCTTTTTTCCTTGTTGAAGTAGATATACCTTAGTGAAAGTAAAAAAAATATATGTTAACACATTTTTCTTAAATTATTTATTAAAATACATATACAATATAAAAGAGTATGATCAGCTTAAATTACCTTAACGAAGAAATCACCCGGAGTTGAATTCGCGCCGCGCAAGTTGCGAGCTTTAACTACTACAAGGGTGAGTCTCTCTGCCGTTGGCAAGTAACTGAGAGAGAACATCAGCTCTCCTAGATGCGGAGTGGGTAAGGCAGGTCCACTGAGCGGTAGCCACGTTGTAGCTGGTGGCCTCCCCACAGGCCCGAGCTTTAAACTGGCTTCACCGATTAACGATGCGCCACCGCCGATACTAGATTCATCAGAAAACACCTGAATAATGGAAAGAAAAATCTATTTTAATTCATGCACCGTTATAAACTCAATCCGAACTTAAAATCAACTTAAAATCATTCAGTTAAAAAGCAAACTTATCTATTTTGCTACTTGTAATATTTAATTTACTTATATATTTAAAATAGAAATAGCGTGAACAAAAATCAATAGCGAAAAGCACCTCAACGAGAAGTGTCTTGCCTGCCGGACCGCCATCGAGGGGAAATAGGAATTTTTCCTGATAACTAGGCGATGGACATACCCTGTAAATCCTCGTTTGTACGTGGGTCTGCCTGTCGGGTAAAAGACATACTCTGCAAAAGAAAAATATATTAAACATTCATGCTCAAAAGTTAATTAATTATTAATTAATTATTTCTGAGAAAGAGAGAATAAATCGTTATAAAAGAAAATGGCGGTATATTTTCTAAAAGAATTACTAATCGAATTTATAATAAAAAAATTATCGTACAAAAATTATTATATGCTAGTTTTACTAAGAATAACAATATTATATTGAAGAGCAAAGAGAAAAAGAGAAAGATATTTACCTAACAAAAGTATCTTGCGCTGGAGTATCATCGACAGCAACGAGATCCCTGGCCTCCAAGATGCTCACAACCAAATCGCCCTCGCAGTCGCTTCCGCGACCACCCCATCTTTCATGTTCGAGTCCGACGCAGATGTGGCCTACAATGGGTGCTTCTTCGAGATCGTTCAGACTCACGCTAGTGTCGGAACATACGCTCTCGCAACTGATCGCTCTCTTTAAGGTAGATTCGTCAGGCGGTGGTTCCGGCTCGGGACCGAGTGAACCTCGACGATTTCCCAATCTAGTGTAATCGTTCATCGCGTAACCTAGATATGACTCCTCCAGATTTTGCGAAAGTCGTCTCTTTGGTTGCACCTCTTCTAAGGCGTAGAGTTCTTGGCTATTCCGTCTCCTAAAGATAACAAATTTTATAGACAATATTCGTTTACAATGCTTAAAGATAACAAAGGGGAGATAATCTAGAGGAACATGGCGTAATTTTTTTCTACGATGTCCAATTCTTACCTCGATGGATCGGCAACATCAAATTCTACATATTCGTGAATGCCGTTTAATCTTTCTATACTTTTACGTCGTTGTTCGAGGCTGTTGAAAATATCCTAGAATTGATTTTTAATAAATTTACAATACAGATATATCTGATATTATATTAAGGGGGAAGCATACCCGTTTGAATCTTCGAAAAATGAGTACATTTTCTAGACTTTTTGGCAGTGCAACAATTTGATAAAAACTTTTTTTACAATATTAATACAATATTAAGTACTTAAATAAAAATTTTTAGTTTCAAAAAAATTTTTTTTTGTAGTTGTGCAAATATTTGCAGATTTATATTTTCATGCACGGTATGCATGACAATTTTTTTAAATTAAAAATTTTTGTTTAGGTGCTTAATAATATTGTATTAATATTATAAAAAAATAAAAAGTTTTTATCAAGTCGTTTCGCTGCAAAAAAATCTAGAAAATGTATTCATTTTTCGAGAGTTCAAACGAGTATGCCTCCTTAAATAAATTTCTTATAATCGGTATATATATCTTTTTTATGTATTACAAAAAAAATAAAAAACAACACGTACCTCCGACGTTCGGGTGAAACTCGGATCTGATAAATAAGTATAAGACTCATGATTGTTCTCTTTAACCAACAAAGGAGACGACGGTGGATCTTGTAAACTATTGTATACCTACGGGCAGCAAAAATATCAGATTCAAAATGAGAATAAAGAAGAATATAAATTATTCTTGATATTATGTAAAACAAAAAAGTAAATTAGTACTTCTTGCGCTGTTCTGTGAGCTTCCAGATTTAGTTCAGGACTATAAAGATCGGAACTCCGTCTCGAACCATCCGGACCGGTCACATCCGGATCGGTTTCCGCATAAATATCCCGCATATCTTGCAAGTATTCAGCATCCTGTAAATTATCTCCGGTGTTATCGTTTACGAACGGCGGGAACGTAAGCCGCTGTATTTGTTGCGCCGAGGAAAGCACCGAACTATAGAAAAAAATGTTACAATTGGATATAAAAAGATTTATAAGATCAAGAATAAATATTATAAAAATTGATAGTACCCAGGATTAAGATAATTGTTCACGCTTTCTCTCTTTTTGAATACTCTTTTTAGAAAAAGTTCTAATTAATTTAAAAACTTTATATGTAATTATGTTTCTTTTTCTAAAATAAAAATTAGCTTCTAATAAAAAGAGCCAAAATTACAAATTTGTCGCGTCATTTTAACTGATTCATATACAAAGAACAAATATATATATATATATCTTTTTCTAAAAATTAGCTTCTAATAAAAAGAGCCAAAATTACAAATTTGTCGCGTCATTTTAACTGATTCATATACAAAGAACAAATAAAATATA